ATAGATTATACTTTTAGTCCCATCAACTGGGAGGCAGAGGCAGGCAGAGTCCTATGAGTTCAAAGTAAATCTGATCTACATAGTAAGACACTGTCTCAATAAATAAATAAACAATAAAATAAGAGGACCATGATTTACTTATCCCTGATCCCTAGCTCAGGGCCTAGTACAGAATAGATTGCAGGAAGTTGTATGATAATTATTAATACTCACTGGTATTTTTGGCTCCCTGCCCTCTGGACACAGGATAGGAATGCACTTCCTGACACCCTTGAGTTGGGCAGATCCAGGTAATTTGTTCTAATAAGTGAGTTATGAATAGGGGTGGCATCTCACTTCTCAGCTGGATCCCTAAGTAGCTGATGCCAGACTTCAATGTTCTTTTCATATAGAACAGGAAACAGTGACATTAAAGAGGATGGCTGCTTCCTGGGGGACTGCAGTAAGCAGTGCCTCATCTGATGCTAAGCACGGAAAGCTCACCTAAAAGGGGAGTGGTGACTCATCTACCCCAACTACCGTGATATGTTTATGTTACTTGGGGCACTTGTATCTGCAAATATAGGAACTTACCATAACATAAGCAAAAACAAAACAAAACATCTGGACGCAGTGGTATACACATTTAATAACAGCACTCAGAGGGCAGAGGACTCTTTGTGAGTCCAAGGCCAGCCTGGTCTACATAGTGAGTTCTAGGCCAACCAGGGCTTCATAGTGAGACCTTGTCTCAAAACAAAAACAAAAAGTGAGAAGTTATTGAAAAAGGTTCTGAAATCTTAACGGTCTAACAGTAGTGCAACAGCGAAGCACAAGAACAGGGCCAGAGCAGAACAGAAAGGCTTTGTGAAGGAAAATTCCTGGAAAGAAGCTGTGTCTGCAGAGGCCTAGCAATCTATTAAATATCAATGATGTATAGAGGATGGAGTGTTGCAGGTCCCGAGCCTGATGACAGTTTGTCTGGAGTTAGCTTTAGTCCCCTAAAGAGCCATTGCTTGTCTGCCTCTGTGTTGGATCTAACAACCTGTCACTTGCAGATAAAGCCAGATGCCAAGTTCTGACAAACAGATATTAACTTAAAGCCCATGCTCCACCAACCAAAAGGGTAAAAAATGGTATCAGATAGCATCTGGGGCCTATAGCTTCGAAGGCTCAGCATGGCTGTAACCTAGCTCTCTGGTGTTTCTTTCCTTTCTTTAGTTCAGGGGATTCAACCTCCTCTTCTGAGGTCCTTGGATACTACATGAATATACACACATAACACACACCCAGGCAAAATACTTATACACATAAAATGAAAGAAGTAGCTCTTGGTCTCGAACTCACAGAGATCCACCTGCCTCTGCCTCCCCAGTGCTGGGATTAAAGGTGTGCGCCACCAACACCCAGCTCTGGTGTTTCTTGATTAATGGCTTTCTTTGATCTGTTACCATGAAACTTTTTGCATGTTGGAATATGGAATTTGAGGTGACTGAAATCTATGTTTCCAAGTCATGTTCACTCATTTTGGCTCTAGTATAAACCATCTCTTATCCCCCTTGTGGTGAGAACACTGACACCCTTAGGGAACTTAGGTAGCCGTCTCTCTGCTATTATTTGCTGTGTGCTTCAGTCCAGTTTTCCCTATTCCACAGTCCACATCGTAGGATGTGTGAATACTGGGTTGGAGCCAAGGACTGAGCAGGTCAGTGAGTGCCAGACTTCAACCTTCTAGAGATATCAACCGGGCAGGAGGCAGTGAATGAGAACCACGTTTGGAGAAGAAAATCCTAAGTTAAGGTTGTTGTTGTGCTTGTTTTGTTTTGATTTTTTTTTTCATGGAGAAGGTTTATTGTGGCTCAAAGTTCAACATGGTTTCACAATGATAGGTTAGTCAAGGTGGCAGAAGTGTAATGCAGCTGTCCACATCATACCCACAATCAAGAAGCAGAAAA